CCTCTTGAAGCTAGATTGGTTCAACCTGTCCTATAAATATGTAACCGGGTTCTAAAGGGATCTCAATATCACTGATCATCCTTTATCGGGCATTGTTTCAGCTCAAGCAATCTTTTCTTGCGGCCGAAATATCCCAAAAGTCTGATCTCAATGAGTGTAGCATCGAGTATCAACCAATCTATAACTCTATACCGAGGCCGACTATCTCACTACTTTCTAATGGCCAAGTTTGTTCAACTAAGGTTCTAAGGTCTGTTAGTGCTTCACGACACTATGCGGCGGCCCCGTATTCTCCCCGTTTCCCCATGAAGGATACCGGTACCAACCAAAGTGCCACACCAACACAACCATCGCTTAAACCATATCGGTCTATGCCGTACAGTCTCCATGATCTATTGCTATTTAACTAAAAAATGCCCCCAGATTCGGGTGTAGGATCTATAGTAAACCAAGCAAAACCCTTTAAGAATAAAGCAAACAAACAAGAAATCAATTATAAAATGACCTAGATCCTAAGGTAAACCCCACTTTATTTTTAATTCCCTAGCAGAGTCGCCAGTTCTGTGATACGGTGGCAGAACCGACTGTTAATACTGGTTTGTGTTTTTTGTTTGCAAATGTCGCGGTAAGCAAGAGTCACCATCGACTTTTATTTTATCCAATCAGGAAAAGGAAAAAGAATAGAAAAAACCTTTTTCGAGATGTTTCTGAGTACGGGGGGTAGATTATAGAAAGGGAAGGTGTTAGCACCCTTTCTATCCATGGTTTTCCATGGGCTCTTAGGTACTTTCTAATTTTGAAATTGCTTGTGTGTGCTTGTTTTGAAAAGTTTTGTTTTACTTTATTTTAACCCTTGTTTCTGTCCTCAAGAGTGTTATGAAGTTGTTTTTGAAAACTTTGTCTGAAAAGTGTTTGGTGTGAAAAAGTTTGTTTATTGTGAGCAAGTACCTAACAGTTATCTATCTACTCGAAAAAAGTCTGTTCATTTTTCTTTAGACAATGCTATCCTATTATTAAGGAATAGGTAGCACCATCGTTGGAGTTTTTAAGGGACATTTGAAGGGACAAGTACGATCACAAAAGCAATGTTAGGAGGTGTTAGTAATCATCCTAAAGCCTTAAAGATCTTTTTCCTAGGCAACATCTGAATGGGTCATTTTAGATCTTTCGGGGCTAGAGGACGACCACTAACAAACCTATACTTTATGACCGTTTAAACGAAGGTAACCGGAGTGGAGTAAACCCTATGAGTCAGCATGTGCGAGTGAATTTTTTCAGTTAATTTGTCTTTGCATATTTAGGGTTTTCTACCGTTTTAATTTTCAAGTATTCTTTCCATACAATCCTATTAGCCATGCATCTAGACAGTTAAAATTTGCAGGAATTTAAAGTGCAGAAAGTTTAAAGTTCTAGCTATTACATGGCTTTCGCAGGTACAAAATTATTTTTTACTGTAAAATAAAAGCGGAATTTAAAACCCTAATTACTATTACAAACTCGGAGCAGTTACAATAATATTAAAAAGTAAATTAAAAAAAATGTGCGCGGCGAATTAAATGCGAGGAATAATTAGAAAACCTAAAGTCTAATTGAAAAAATATTTAGGTTATTTTTTGAGAAAAATTAGGTTATGTACAAATTAACCCTGATTCTAATTATTTTAAATTATAAAAATAGAATTAAATTTCCCTAGTTTAAATTAAACTAATTAATTATGGAAATAAATATTTTTTATGGAAAAAATGATATTTTTTTAATGATTTTTTATATTTTTGATTAAATGAAAAAATATGATTTTTGGTGTTATATATACAAAGGAAATAATTAACAAAATAATTAAAATAAGAAAATAAAAAGAAAAGGAAGAAATTGGGCCTGTATAGCAATCCAGGGGGGGTATGATGCTGAATTTGTCAAGGCCCATTAGCTACTCAGCCCACTCTCTGCGCTTGATTCAATGGTGACCATGATTGGAGGGTGCACCATGGTCTTTGCTGCTTGGGATGTTGGATAGGATTGAAGATGAATTCGTTGGCTGGATTGTGTGGCTGCATGGTGGATGCCTGGAAGCATAACGCACTAGATCTGCAATCAAATATTGAGAAAACAAAGAAAACGCTTGGACCTGGGATCGAACCCAGGTCCTCCCACTTTCAAACACACGTCCTTTCCATCTGCGCTGCGCTGCTTAATTGATAATATAATAATAACAATATATTATATGTAAAAAAAATGTGGATAACTGAAACAACTAAAAACACGCGCCTAGTATTCAAACAGGCCAATGGTTATCATCCATTGTTGTACCCAAAAGTTTTCCCTCTCATTTTACTCAAAACATACTCCTAGAAATCCTCAATTTGCTCAAGGTTGTCCAAGAGTTGACCAGATAAACTCTCTCATAAGGAAATGTATCTTAAACTAGGGTTTCCAATTTCATTAAGATGGGTGAATTCCAAAGACCTCATATAATTTCCATGGTCCTAATATGTTCTCAATAACTTCCATGTCAAATTTCAAGACTTTCACAAGAAGTTTGCTCAGTCAACTGCCCAGATGCTTGAGAATCGACTGTATTAGGTCAAAAGTCAACTGTGGCCCACATACATTCAAACTTCAATATTTTTGGTCAACATCAACATTTTGAAGTTATATCCATCATTTAATCAAGGGTTGATCATGATTCCTCAAGGAATACCCCAAATTCCTCAAAACCCAAAAGTTGCTAAATTAGGATTTCTTAGGAAAAGTCAACCAAACTTTGACCAAGCATAACTTCTTCATACTTTATCAGAAATTTTCCATCCAAGGCTAATTTTGAATAGAATGAAATTCCCTACAATTCATATTCAACCCTTAAGTTCAAAATATGCACTCACAAAAAGATATGGATTTCCATATTATAGGTCCTTTTGAAAAGTCAACAAAAACACTTTTTGGGTCAAAGCTTCTTACATGAACATGGAAGACTCAATTGAGATGAGACCAAAAGGGTTGCTTAGGGGACATCCTAAGATTTATAAAAATCCCAAGAACACCTCTCTAGGGTTAAAATTGGAAGATATATGCCTTGTCAAAGTTGACCCTTTTTACAAAATTGTCAAAAGTCAAATGTGCTCAAAAATGCATTTTTTGCCAAATGAGCCTAACTTTTTATGCTTGCACCTCACTCATGACATGGTCCACGACCCAAATGTTCACTCACATGTTATTTGCTTCATTATTTATTTTATTTTGATTTGTTATTTGTTAAAAACTGAATTAAATCAAATAAATGGTAAATAATAGCAAAGATTTGTTTTGATTGGATTTTTGGACAGAATCACAAGCTCATTATGCTGGCATATTAGAATCAAATCGAATCAAAGCTAATTGGAATAAGAATGACATGATTAGGCCAAATTTGGAAGGATATCATACCACATGAAAACCAAATCAAATCTTTAAAAATTGCAAAGATACTAGTGGTTTTTACAACCCTAATTCATTCAAGGATATATAATAAACAAAGCCAGGCACAAAGGAAGGGGTTGCAGTCGTGAGAAAGAAAGAACAAAAACTCAAAAAATTGACAAAAAATAGTGACTCAGTTTCAAGTTTGGAGGCCAATTCAAGCCATTCTAGCGTTGCCAATAGAATGTTGGACATCTCAGGAACATAACTGGATCAATTGCAAGCATGTTCACGCCCAGAAACGCACGTTACAGACTCATAGTTTGCTTTCCCTAACTTGAATCGTATTTTGCAATTTATGCATGATTAACCATTATTGAATGTAGCATTGTGTTTGTATGAGCCTTTAGAACATTTTGGTTTACTTGATTTTTCTTTTTGATGCTTATATCCAGAGTTGCCATTATTAGGGTTTGAGGTCACGTTTTGGGGTTTCTTGATACAGGTAAAACTGGCCTACATAAAGGGTACCATTGTACTCGTGAGGTCAAAACAATTTGATTGGTATAGCCATAATTCATTTATCATGCCTGTACTGGATTTTGGAAATTTGCAGGTTTTTAGCTATGGAATATGTTCGTAGGTAAAAGTATCATACCTAAAACGACAGATTGAGGAAGAAGGTGATAACGTGGCAGCCAACCACTGAACCATTCAAATTGGCGCACGTTTTTTATTTTGTCCACTAACTCACGTTTTAACATATATTATGGATTGTTATTTAATTAACAAATAAGTCACGCAGCTCAGTTGGCCAAGGTGCACATGGTTTGAGTGGGAGGACCTGGGTTCGATCCCAGGTCCCAGCAAGTTTCTTATTTTATTTTCCTTTAACAGATCATGTACATCACCCACTCAAGCGCTCATCATGCACCTCCATCATCCAACCACAAGATCTAAGCACGTTCATGATCAACCAGATCCAATGACTCCACCTGCTAGGGACCATGGTGTACCATCAGGAAGCCTCCCCACTGGATTACGTGCTGATTGGGCTTCAACTTGGTGGGCCTAACAATTCAGCCATACACCCTCTGGTTTCTTCAGAAAACGGGCCCAATTTTATTTTATTTATTTATTTTGTTTGATTAATTATTTGTTTTCACAAATTAATTCCTTTTTTAATTAACTACAAAAAACCAATAAATCATAAAAAACACCCAAAAATCATTTTTTATAAAATAGTTATTTTCTCTAATTAATTAATTTAATTCAAATTACGTTAATTTAACTCCTTTTCATAATTAAAATAAATTAGAAATTAGGGTTTTGTAAATAATTAATTTTGTTTCAAAAAATAACTTACATATTTTTTTCTCAAATTAGATTTTTTAGGTTTTTTCTAATTGTCCTCGTATTTAACCCGTCACACGCGTTTTAGTTACCCTTTTGATTATTATTTATGTAACTGTTTCGAGGTTGTAATAGACTTAATTAGGTTTTAAATTTCCGCATTTTATTTTCAGTTAAATAATTATGTATCTGCGAAAGCCATGTATAGTTAGGATTTCTATTTCCACACTTTAGATTTCCGCAATTATTAACTGTTAGATGTATGCTAATAGGATTGTATGGCAAGAATATTTGAAAATTAAAAAGGTAGATAACCTAAATGTGCAAAGACAAATTAACTGAAAAAAGCTCACTTGCACATGCTCACTCCTAGGGTTTACTCCACTTCGGTTTCCTTCGGTTAAGTGGTCATGAAGTATAGGGTTTGTTAGTCGTCGTCCTCTAGCCGCGAAAGATCTCAAATAACCCATTCGGATGTTGCCTCGAAAACAGATCTTTAAGGCTTTAGGATGATTACTAACACCTCCTAACATTGCTTTTGTTATTGTATCTATTCCTTCGAACATCCCTTAAAACTCCAACGACGGTGCTACCTATTCCTTAATAATGGGCTAGCGCTGTCTAAAGGAAAATGAACAGTCTTTTTCGAGTAGGTAGATTAACTTTTAAGTACTTGCTGAAACAAATAAACTTTTCACACCAATACCTTTCTGTAGCGGTGAAAATCGGAGATCAAGCTATTAATTAACTTGACTCACAAAAAGCAAGAGTCGCCACCGCGCTTTATTATTTCCAAGGGAAAAGGGAAAAGAGCGAAATAAAACCCTAAAATATGCAATGTAGAATAATACTTAAAAGTAATAAAAATACAATGCGTTTTTGAAAAGAGGTCTATGGTTCGGGGGTTGGTTATACAATGGGAAGGTATTAGCACCCAATGCATCTGCGGTACTCCGCAGGAACCTTTTGAAATATCTGTTTTTTATTAAAAGTTGTTTGTTTGATTAAAATGACTTGTTTGGGCTAAAGTGGTTTGTTTGGACGAGATTTTTGGAGATACGACGACCTAGTGTCGAAGTTTTTACTTAAAAGGTGTGAGTTTGAAATTTGAATCTTTTAGGAAAATCGACTTAATTTTGGAAAAAAATAGTAAATAAAAAAAAAATAAAAAAATGAATGAGGGTATTCGCTTGATAGTATTAGATATTTGATGACATGAAGTCAAGAAAGTTAAAATATTTTCCTTGGAATTAATCATAAGCAGGTAGATCTAATATTCGAGTAAGAAATCATAAATAATTAAAATCCACGAGAAACGAACAAGGTAGATAACAAGATAATTGTAAGAAATTAAATGAATGGTCAAAGAAGAATCATGAATAAAAGAAAAGTGTAATAAAAAAAAATTATCTAAACTAATTTGAAATTCTAAGGTTACTAAGTAAACTAAACCTAAATTCTAAAGTGTCTAATTAAATTAAATAAAATTTTGAAGTTATTAACTAAAACTAAATTAAAATTCTAAAGTTACTAACTAAAATTTGAAATTTATTAAATTAAATCTAAAATAAATTAACACTCTAATATTACTGAATTAGGTCTAAACTAAATTAATTCTAAAGTTGCTAATCTAAAAAAGTTCCAAAGTTACTAAACTAAATCTAAATCAAATAAAATTCTAAAAGAATATTAAACTAATTCTAAACAACTAAAATTCTAAACTTATTAAACTAATTCTAAATCAAATAAAGTTCTAAAGTCCCTAAACTAAAACTAACAACTAAAATTCTAAAGTTAACTTAAATAAAATCAAATAAAATTCTAAAATTTACTAAATTAAAACTAAAACAAATAAAATTTACTAAGTCAAATCTAAATGAAATAAAATCCTAAAGTTACTAAAATAAAACTAAAACAAAATAAAATTCTAAAGTTTACTAAGTCAAAACTAAAACAAATAAAACTCTAAAATTTACTAAGTCAAATCTAAATGAAATAAAATCCTTAAGTTACTAAAATAATATTACAACACATAAAATTCTAAAGTTTACTAAACTAACGCTAAAACAAAAAGTTATAAAATAAATCTAAATTAATACTAAATTAAATTAATTCTAAACTAAAGATTAAAATTCTAAGACTAAATTAAAATTCTAAAGTTATCAAAATGTATCTAAACTAATTGGAAGTTCTAAAGTTATAAAATAGATCTAAACAAATTAAAATTTTTAAGTTATCAAAATATACCTAAACTAATTAAAGGTTCTAACATTACTAATTTATATCTAATTAAATTAAAATTCTAAAGTTATAAAATACACCTAAACTAATTAAAAAATTCTAAATTAATACTAAACTAAATCTAAATATAAGATTTACTAATATTTTTTTATATTTTTAATTAATTAAAACTAATTAACCTAAATAAATAATTAACTTAATTAACTAATGAAATATATTAAATAAATTAAAGCTAAACTAATCAAATAAATAGTTTTGGGGCGCATAAGTAAATTAGAGGGCATACATTTACAATATAACTTTATGAGCTTAAAGCCCAGACTAATGTCATAATAATCTAAACCTAAGTGAATAATAAAACAAAGCAACAAAATAATGTGGGTAGAAGAAGATCTACGCCCACTACCAGCTGTGCCAGCAAGAAATTGTCTCATTTTTTCATGTAGCATCTAGCATATGGTACGCTGACACGTGGCGGAGTAAAATAATAATAAAATAAAATAACAACACTAAACCATTGTCATAGTTTCATATGAAAGAAAGAAAAAAACATACAGCACATTTCCTCTTTCTGTTTCAGATCTCAACCTTCTTCTTTCTTTTTCGGCGGCGAGCACGACAGAGTGCAGGATCGGTCGCTGATCCGAGATTGAATCGCGGCGGTGTTGTGTCAGCGGTTGGATGGAGGTTTGCTGTACTTGGATGATTTGTTGGCGGTGTTGTGGCTAGTGGAGACGGAAGGGAGTTTGCTTCTCCATTCTTTTTTTTTTCTGCAGAGACAAAAATCATGACAGTTCTTCCAGATTTTTGTTTTGGGACTCTGCTGCCCTTTTTTTTAATGATTTGATTGTGGTTGTGAATCACTTTGAATGTTATGGATTAGAGAAAACAAATTTTGAACCTGATTTTCCTTAAACAATTTTAGCAGATTAATGGTTAGATATGATGTAAAAAATATGAGAATGTTTTTTGTGCAAATTTCATTGTAATTTGATACTGATTTCCATGGAATAGTAGTAAAATGGTTTGAAATTTGATGTGTCGTATTATGCAAGGTGATTTGGTTATGAATAAAGATGATGAAGACTTTGACATAAAGAAAAAGGGTTTGAGGAAGAAATTGTCAGTATGAATGTATGGCCTACAAAATAAGATTTCATGTTAGAATGATAAAATGATTTAAAATGTAAATAAAAGTCAGATCCTCATACGGTTAAGACAACAAACAAATAACAATTAATGAATTGAAAACAAAAAAGGAGTTAAAAAACATTAGGGAGGGTTAGGGATAAAGGTGAGTTGAAGGAAGATTGGGTGTTGTTATGACGTTGCTGTGGGTTTCAGACAGAATTGCTAGCAAAATGGGATGAATTGAAGGGATGAATGAAAAAGGCGCTAGAGAGAGGAAGAGAATTTGAGATGCTGTTTTGGGAATGGGGAGAAAGATGAGTGGTTTACTGTGTTGTATTTTTTGTTGTGTGTGTCCCCCCTTTGCAAAGAAAAATGAAGTCTTTAAATAGAAAAAAACTAGAAATATTATGATTTCAAAATAAATCCGAGCCGTTCAATATAAATCCAATCTCTATCAATCCGCAAACCATGCTTCTGACCAATGAGAATTCAATCTCTATCAATCTGCAAACTATGCTATCGACCAATGAGAATTCAATCTCTATCAATCTGCAAACTATGCTATCGACCAATGAGAATTAAGCGAGGCCTAATTAATATTTTTTTGTGACCAAAAAGTCCCTGAATGACAAAAATAAAATAAAACCTGAAATTATATAAAAAAAATAACTCAATTTAAAATGATTTTTTTGAATATTTTATGAATAAAAAATAAAGACTCAAAAATGACCGAAAATGATAAAAAAAACGGACAAAAATTTATCCGATAAAACAAAATGAACACATTAAAATAAATTACATGTCACAAAGATTAAAGAAAAAATATTCAAGAAGTCAAAAAACCAAAAATAAAATAATAATAAAAATATCAGACTAAACAGACGTTTAAGATTAAAACGAGACTTCGAACTGTACCGAAAAATAAAGCGAGCATACCGTCATAATCTACGCGAAGCGCAGATTCATAAAATGATCGGTAAAAGGTGAAGACTTGAAATATTTTTCTCGCTAATTTTCGTACATTGTTGAATCGCTTTTAACAGTTTGTCTATAAAACCAAAATATTTTTATTATCGACATATAAACAACTTGGAGCAATGCAAGAAACGAGTAAAGAGATAAAATGCATGAAGCAAAATGCCGGGTATTTTACAACTGAAAGACGATGCAAACTTTGATTTAAACTGACTTTTTCTGATCAACTTAAATACGTCTAATGATGCAAAATGTGATGAATGAAGATATTTACTAATGATCATGACCAAATGACAAAATATGGTATGAATGTGCGACTGAGAAATTAGGGGCGAAATTAAGGGTGCAACGGTGTGCCTTGATGAATCAGTCTTCGAGAATCCACAATCAACCGTACTTCTGGCTTGGGAGACTCAAAACCTTAATTGAGGCGCGACACCTGATGCTCTTGATTCAGACCTGTCTCTGCACATGACACAAAAGAAAACATGAACATACACATTTGTATGCGATTAGAAATTAGTGATGCATATGCTAAAAATGTTCAAAACACTTGACAATCTTCGCATAGTCAAAGCTCGAAGGTGAGACGTTAAAACCGACCGTATTTCGTGACCTTGACTTATCTTGAAAAAATGCAAAAAATAAAAATGGGATCTTAGGTCAAAAATTGGGGTACAACAGCTGCCCCTATTTAAGTTTCTTCTATCTGGAGATATGAAGATTGGGATCTTCATTTCGACGAGATTGAAGGGACTTAAATATAGAATACACAATTTTTGGCCTTAAGATACCGCGATTATGTTCATGATATGATATGAATGTAATGCTCTGAATTTTATGAGGAATGACGCCATACGAGACAGACTATGCTGGAGAAACCAAGCACATTATACAGTAATCCTACAGGGGAACAGATTATAACATCATTGGGGAAACAAAGTCATAGACTTCAAATGAGAGACTCTTGAATGATTTACATCAGTGTTGAGACTGGAAAAGAGATGATTTACATCAGTATGAAGACTGGAAAAAGAAATGATTTACATCAGCACTGAGACTGGAAAAGCATATGATTGACATCAGTACTGTGGCTGGAAAACAAAATGATCGACATCAGCACTGTGGCTGGAAGACAAAATGATTGACATCAGCACTGTGGCTGGAAAACAAAATGATTGACATCAGCATTGTGGCTGGAAAAGAAAATGATGGACAT